CCCCCCCCCAGTTATGCTACTAACAGACATGGACATTTTCTGTGTATTTGTAAGATTTCAAATGACAGTGGATCAAAAATATTTTTATACTCATGAAGTAATAATACAGAAACTGGTTTCATGTCAAATAAATACAAAGGGCAAAAGAAAATGCAAAATATGATATTAAAATGATGGCTTGTCATAACAAAGTCATTTTTCTTATGTAGAGATTGCCCTACATTCACAGACCAAGAAACCCTAGGGATCACTTTAGTTTAAACAATATGCAAACTCAAAGAGGTGAATGAGAAAAGCCATTCAGTGAAAACATTTGAAAGTTGCATATTCTGTTGTGACTCATGCATTTCAGCACACACATCAATACAGGTTTTATTAGAATGTGGATCATACTGAGATACCTAACTCAAAACAGAAAGATGCTTTACTTCATAAATATTTGCATTAGCTGCAATGGAATGTACTTTCAACATATGTTCCAATTATTGTAGGAAAACCTCTTAAAGCACTTTGAAAGAATATTCATTTCATCATGCAAAAAAGTAACATTTCTGCTAACTGTGAGATTTAGTGAATGTTAAATGTATTAAACACACTGTGGACTATATGCTGCTATAAGACTGACAAAGCCACGTAGACCTTGCTATGGGAAAAACAAACAAACAAATTACCTGAACTGAGAGCCTTAAGAGAAAAAAATCTATCTTTCACATCTCAGCCATAATTTCTAATGATATTTTAAAATCAGTGAAACATCTCTCTTCACACACGGACATCTGTATAATATTATACATACTTTGTGCTGATTGTTTGGGCAAATAGGAAACAATGTGTCTTGATGTTGTGTGATCTCTCTGCACATTCTTTTCCTACTTGCAATTTAAATGAACAAGTTTTTCAGAAAATATTGAAATTCACAGCAGGACTGAAGACTGTATTGCTGTAGAAGTAGTCACATTTGTGCCCAAAAGAACAAAAATGAAAGACTAAATTGTTACATAAGTAGGATTTCCCACAGCTAAATGGCCACCCATGTACCAAGTGTGTGCCTCTTTGGCTGACCATGTTAAGAGCTTCAGAGTTACAGGTGCCCCAGATTATATTTAAAAACTTAGATGATGGTGAAACAAATGAAAGAGATTCTGAAGACGCTTAATGGAAAATTTGCTCCTTTTTCCATTCTTCAGGAAATAATTTGGGAGGGTTTTGGGAGATGACAGTAAAACCCCCTGTTGGAGATGAGGATAGCCTACTTATGAAGAAAGAAAAGTACCAAGGTTTTATTTTTAGTGTGCTTGATACCAGCTGTGAATGCTAGAAAATTCAAGTTTCTGAAAAATCCCTGCATCTAACATGGTCAGCTAAAATGAGTGAAAACTAGTAGAAAAATCAGTAGAGTGCTCCTGATCTAACTATGAGAAATACTGTCACTCTGAACACTTCTTCAATCACAACAGCCTCTAGTGTACAGTAGGTTTCTAAGAAGTAGCATACTTTAAATGGTGATTTTAGGCATCAGGAACAAAGGAAGCAAGTTTGAGGGCATAATATTTACTATGTTGCTAGTAAACTATGTGAGCTAGCAAAATAGTAACCTTCTCACCCTTTTCTCTACCAGGACCCATTTGTAAACATGGATGGCCAGTCCTGACCCATTCTCCCTCACTCCCAAACTGCTGCCCCCAGGCCCTAGCCCCCAGTATGTGAGGCGGGGGGGAGGGGAGGGAGGCCCAAGCAGCCCCTTGCAGGCTGGCACTGACAGCCTGCAAGGGAAAAAACACGTTTTTCTCCTTTAAAGGAGAATCCATTTTTAAAAGTTTGTTGATCCATTTTTAAAGTCTGTTTGTGACTCTTTCATATATTCCTGTGACCCACTTTTGGGTTGCGACCCACGGATTGAGAAATGCTGAACTATATATGTCAGCCTATCTCCCATCAATACCCCAAAGCATTGTCACCCTTTATGACCTGCGCCTTATAAGAAGCAAAAGCAATTAAAAGAAATGCAATTTCAAGCATTATGTGCCATAAAAGAACATGGAGAACACCTCCCTACAGCAAAGCAACTACACCATGTTCAGGGTTTGTAAGACTTCCTATCCCTCTTACCTGATACTGCAGATTTCTGACCTCGCTCACATCTAAAAGGCTTTACGGAAGATACCTAAGAAGGTCTAATTGCTAGTATCTAGGTCTTTCTTGGGAGAGATCAGTTACGCCCTCTCACCTAGCGGGAACACTGACTCACTTGATGGTCTTCGGTCAGAAAATCAAATCCTTCCCACTCATGTGTTAGGGAAAGTTTCACTACACATCTACTGACCCCCTCTGTTGCCACTGCCAGATTTATTTTCCAAATAGCTCAAAGAGAGCACACAAAATAGAGCCACCTGCTTAGTTGTTTTTTTTTCCTAACCTTTAGAAATTCATGAAGTACATAAAGCCAATTAGGGTAACATGACTAATAGCATGTACCTCATATTACTAACCAATACAACAAGTTTTAACAAGCTACTGCAGAATACACAATTATTCTAAGACAAATTATGCATAGTTGCTATAACATCAGACATCAATAATTCAATTTTTTCCAGTTTTTCAAATGTTTTTATAAATGGATAAAAAAATAAATGTTATCTGGGTTTAATATCTAGTCATAATGAATGTTCTGTATAGGTAATGTATTTCAATAGGGTTTACCATAAATATTGAACAGCTGTTTTACAAGGATTTCAGCCAGCTACAAAGAAATGATGTCATTGCTGTGACTTGCTTCCCTTCGGCAAAATGGCATGGCAAATAATCAGAGCCTAAAATAAGTCCCAAAGGGAAAAATAAGTGAAACTTTAATTCAGTAAAGGAGGAATAATGGAAAAAGCATATCCAAGAAATTAATTATTAACACCGTGTTTTGAAATAAGATATGAAACAAACCACTGCAGAGATAGATTTAATTAAAAAAAAACACAAAAAAACCCCTAGAAATGGGTTAGAGAATTATGAGGAAGTTCAGATCAAGCCTATCAACAGTCATATCAGAGTTGATGAAAGGAGAGAAAAAAGGCATGCAGTTGGGATAGCAAAATTATACAGATAAAAATAAGAATACTTAAAGACAATACAAAAAGAGCCCAAACCACAGTTGCAAAAATTATCACTGTAATTTTATTCTGAGTTGGCCTCTCTCTCCAAAATACAGACTATTACAAATTCCAACAAGTTAGCACTTAATGTCTCCAAGCCAAGGTCACAAACAGCACTGAACAATATATCAATTTATACAAAAAAATGCTTGAGAAAAAATGTTAACATGTGCTCAAACTGTCCAGGAAACATCATTCAACCACTTATTTTTATTTAATGAAACAAAGAAACAGATTGCGGATCTATGGTATCAGGAATTTTCTTTTAAA